TTACAGCAGTATTTATAGAGAAGGCAAAAAGATTAAGAATATGTATTTTTTCTCAGACAGTCCATCCTGAAAAAATATTAGATTTAACATCCAAGCTTAATAAGAAAACAGAAGCAATGCCAACAAAAACTTGAGAAATGCTGAAATATATTTTTGTTTCAGTTATGCAGCTTGCACACAGATTGAAGTTACAGATCTCAAAAATTAGAGCAGAATTTAAAACGCAGCTTTATTAGTGAACTGAGATAATAAAGATTTTTTTTAATCTTTTGCTAAGTTAAAGCAAGGATCTACAAACGTCTGTGCCAGTGGGTATGTGTGACAAGAGATGGTAATAGGAGTGCTCAAAGGAAGTGGTTTTCCTGAGAGACTTGCCACTTACAAAATGGCTGTTAGAGTTGGCACCAGTAGACAGAAAACATTAGTTTGCCAGAAAAAAAGTAGGGAGCCACCCTTCTTTCATCCTTTCTAATTTAGCGTATTTGGTATCAGCCTCAGTTAACCTTTGGCAGCTTCTCTATTCATAGCTACTGATTAGTTAGCTATCCAGGGGAGCCATACATTCAACCTCCTTTATGAAAATTTTCCGAAGTTGATCATGAGAAAAAAGAAATAACACAGAGACACTATATTCATGGGAACAAGAGATATTTTAAAATCCTTGAAAGTTTTCATATTTCTTAGAACTCTTCATCAGCTAAGGTTTATAATTAATTATAAGTGATTGATAATCCAAGAAAAGGGGATGTCCAGTCTTCCAACAAACTTGTATCAGTTCACAGTCATAATGTTAATGACAAAGATCATACATTTCATATAAACCAATCTTGTTTTACAGACCAGTGTTTCTATTCCTTTGCTCCAGGTGGCCCATGGCAGCCTCAAGGATCACAGCCAGGAGCCCCAGCTCAGCAAAGGCTGTCCCCACAGGGTCAGCAACCTCTGAGCCCTCAGTCCACTTCATCACAGCAGCAGAAGTCACCTGGATCTCCTCAGCAAACAAGATCATCAGCAGGAAGCTCACCAAGCCAGCCTTCCAAATTAGGCACATTTCCCTCCCAGCAACCTCGACCACCGGCACAAGGATGGGCTCCTGGCCAAGGATTCAGTGAACCTTCCAAGCAGCATCCTCATTTGAAGTATGTGGGAAATTTTTTACAATGGATAATTCTTGTAATTTAAAGTTAAGGTTGCTAAGTTAAGGTCAAGCCATTATCGGTGTCCCAGAACCGCCACTGAAGATGTTACCTAGCCTGGTAACGAAATGTTCAGAAACCAACCCACAAGCTTGGAGAATGAACCTTTACCCTCTTCTCCTTTTTGCTGGCAATATCAAACGTTACAGATAAATCCCAATGATACAGTAGTGTTAAAAGTTTGTGAACCCTTTTGAATTGTCATTATTCAGCATAAATATTATATAAAGCATCACAGAAGCCCTAAGTCTAGATAAAGAAAAGCTTATTAAATAAGTCAAAAATATTGTAATTCATTTTTTGAGGAAAATGATCCAAAGCTAGATATATATCTATATATATATATCTATATCTATCTATCTATCTATCTATCTATCTATCTATCTATCTATCTATCTATCTATGGCAAAAGTATGTGAGCCTTTGCTTTTAGGAATTGGTATGCCCATTTTGGTCAGCAATAACTGTTAACTAATTATTTCTGGTAACTGTGGATCTCTTTTAAACAATAACCTGAAGGAATTTTAGCCCATTCCTAATTACAGAAGAGCTTCAACTTAAGGATGTTGATGGGCTTTTTCAAGTAAATTGCCCACTTAAGGTGCTTCCACAACATTTCTATAGAATTAAGGTCAGGACTTTGATTTGGCCATTTCAAAACACTGTTACTTGTGCTTTTGCCATTCTTTGGTCATATAGCTTCTATGTTTTGGATCACTGATTTGCTGGTCCTGTTGAGCTTCCCCTTCAGATATCCTATTTTCTTACAATTTCCTGATACAATCTGAAATTCCTAGTTCCATCAATGATGAAAGTTGGCTGATCTAGAGACGGCAAACCTGGCTTAAGGCATGACGTTGCAACCACATTTCACATACTTTTGCCACACAAAAAATGTAGCATTAGATCATTTTCTTCAGTAAATCAATGGACAAGTATGTTTTAGATTCATAGCTTTAATGTTCTCTAACAAATTTTTAGGATCTATGTAGAGAACATATCACATTTTAGATCATATTTATGCATATTGAAAATTCAAAAGGGTTTATAAACTTTTAGGCATCACTATTGGTGTTTAACAACAGTAGTGACCCACTACTTCCTAAAGCTTCTAAATTTTGTAAAAGAAATAGCCACATTTTTATTCCCTTTTCTTCTTTTTTTCAGCAAATCACAATCCTTGACAAATACCTTCAACATCTCAGAATCTTCACAGCGAGGTATCACAAATGAAGATGAGGCAAAGGCTGAAACCATCCGTAACCTGAGGAAGTCATTTGCTAGTCTGTTTTCTGATTAGCATCACAAACCTTAGAGTAATTTTGGATATTTGGGTCTTCTTTCCATGCAAATTCCTCACTCATTTTATAGTTCCCTATACAAATGTGTCTTTAAATGTATCAATCGTTATAGTTTCTTGTATGTATTCCTATATTCAGCAAAGGGGAGGGGAAAAGCAATTGAAAAAAAGCAATTGAATCTGCCTCCCTGGGCTCTGGATAACACTGTCATCGAAATGTTATTCTCAACTTACAGAATGCAAACATGTCCATCATCACCTACACGCAGAGGTCATCTCATGCACAATCAGGGCTATAGAATGCTGCAGTGAGTATAAACAGCTTTGAACACTTGCTGGGCCATTTATGGCAGAGGTGCAGAAAAGAGGCAAATAGTTAAGATTAATATTCATTTATCTTAACTATTTTTATATATTAGCATGATTCTTCTTTTCTTTTATAAGTCAGATTCTAATTTGCTCTTTTAAAAACCCAGTTATAAAACTATTCCTCCAAAAATGTGTTATCCCTCTGAATTATTCCTTCTCAATTCAAATTTCCTGGGCTAAACTATTATAATTCTTAGGTAGCACACAGTTGAACCATTTTACTTTGGTCAATATACAACCAGGATTAAATCCATTCTGATTCCCAGGTGCGGGAATATATAGACATAATTTAGAATTAAAATCCTTTGCATGCTCTGTTACAATAATGCAACTTGCCTAAGATTTACCTAGTATCCACTGTAATAAGTATCCAAAATAATAAATTGAACTATAATGATGTAGGCGTTTATATTGAAGTACCATGTGTATGGAAACAAATATACAGGTCTTGAACTTTAGCTATCAACGTGTCAGAATTCATCTTTACAGCAGCATATCATGCATTTCAGAAAAAAATGACTGAAAACAAAGATCTTTGATCCACATTGGGACTAGGATCTCACAATGAACTACCTCTCTAGAGAAATCAAGTCATAAAATTCTTATTCTGCAGTTACATGCATGCATACAAAAGTGATAGAACAGTTTAGAAAGAAGTCAGCCACCATGAAATACAACTCAATATTTCAAGGCCATCAAAATGCAAAGTAGCAAACCCTTCAGAATAAAACATGGGAAATGTTTCTTTCCAGCCTCAAAAATTCTCCCCAATATCAGTATCCAAATTATGCAGTATGACACAATTTAGCCACTCAATAGTCAGGATACAAGTGAAGTGTCAAGAGATGAGGAGGAAAATAGGAGTTCTGCTACAAAAAGTTTAGAGATTTCTCTTTAAACATTGATATAATTGAACTTTTACTGCATTATCTATACAAAACTGATGTAAATGGGACATTGCATTATATGTGCATTTGTTGTATATAAATAGTTCCAGAGCAGGCATGTCCAATCCGTGTGTGGCCCTGGACAACTAGTAATTCAACTCAAGATTGTAAAATTTTAACATTATGTGATTTATATACATTATGTTTTATATGCAGCTCAAGATAATTCCTCTTCACTCAGTGCAGCCCAGGCAAGCCAAAGGTTGGATACCCACGCTCTAGAATAAGTCTACTGCAAGCACGTAATTTTTCAACTCAGTGCAGCCAAGTTCAATAAAGCCAGACAAACTGTTTTGTTCCTTAATATTCTAGAATGGAACCTTACCTACTTCCCTGATTTTTCCCTAAATCCTGTAAAAACAGTTGGTAGACAAGAGGAAAATAAATATTATCACTACTTTGAGTGTTTAGCAGCTCTCTGAAATGCATCTGAAAAACAACTCAGCATTTCAAGAGAAGTGCAGATAAGGATCTACTTCCATTTAAAATTACCCAATTGGAATTGTTTATCAAACCCAGCACACGGTTTCCTGAGCTAATGTTCATAGCAATGTGATCTAACTTCTTCAATATTATATGACTTACTTCTCTGAATGTGTCATGTAGAATGGCACAATACAGCCAACTGTTCAATGACTTTAGTATGATAGGAAAATTCCAATAGAATTTGCTCTGACAGAATTTGCTAGTGGTTTCCCATCACATCATAAATTAATGTAATTCCTAGATCTACTAAATTTCACCCTCAATTCTCCTCTCAGATAAGTTTAACCTACCTCAAGAAAGATAGAACAATTACATACTAGTGCATTTTGCACTGGAATATTACAGAAATATTAAATAATTCCTCTCCTAAGCAGTTATCTTATTTTGCAAGCCAAACAGCTAATTATACCAATGTTGTACAGTTGTTGGAACAAAGGTCTTTATCATCTGCAATATTCTGAATAGTGTTCATCCTAATGCCACCACAGTGTATTAGAAATACAACTACAAAGAACCAATTGTTTAATAATAAAGCAAAATTGCATTGTTAGACTCAAGCTATTTTAGAACTGATTTATGCATGTTTGAGTTCTAAAAGGTTGATTATAGCACTTTAGTGTCTTATAAACTAGCACTTAAGTATTAACTGTTGGTCTGTTGGTGATATGATAGCGGTATTCCAATATCTAAGGGACTGCCACAAAGAAGAGGGGGTCAATTTATTCTCCAAAGCACCAGAAGACAGGGCAAGAAGCAAAGGATGGAAACTAATCAAGGAGAGAACTAACCTAGAGAAATTCCTAACAGAATAATTAATCAGCAGTCACAAATACTGAACACTCCTTGTGATAGTAAATAAACACATCTTTATAATACTCTACATATAAAGTACTATATATTCTAAATATAGTACAATCACATCTTTAATTTAAGTACTTAATATGTTAGCTCCTTAATGTAAAATCATGAAATTTAGAATTTGAGCTATAAGACATAACAGCCATCTATGGAATTCTCTCAGTTTAGTTCAATCCCTCATCAAACTGATATTTAGGATGATACAAAACTGACACATCAAAATCAGTGCATTTAAGTAACTCTTTTTGTTTTTTAAATAAGACTGAAAATACGATACAGAAAAAAATTTGGAATAGCAAAGATAATACATTTTCCCTTGAAAAGCCATCAATGGAGAATCATCCATGGTTATATTATTTGTGCTCAACCTTAGATTACCTTCTAATAAGAAATATCACTTATCAACTGATCAACTAGACCAGTGTTTCTCAACCTTGACCATTTTAAGACATGTGGACTTCAACTCCCAGAATTCCACAGCCAGCAATGCTGTCTATGGAATTTTGGGAGTTGAAGTTCACATGCCTTAAAATGGTCAAGGTTGAGAAACACTGAACTAGACAGTTATGTCTATTTATCCCTAAGAATTGCACGTCTTGTAATTATACATTTAAAAGTAACTAGGAATGTTAACCCAACTTAGTTGGCTGAAAAATGTTAAAAACTATTAAGCAATGATTATTTAAATGTACGGATGGCCCTGTCATTTTATTTCATAAAGTACTTAGGGTACTTTCTGTTGAAATTTACTACAAAAAAATTGAAATAGAAAGGCAGCAACTTTTTGCCAGAGCTTCTGACATTCACCATTTCTCATCTTCTGGGTTATACTATAGCATGTTATTATTCAACTGTTTGTAAGGTGAACAGTTCAATGTCTTATTCTCTCATATGTAAAAAAAATCATTTTAACTCAATATTCTTTGTGCTTTGAAATCCCCAATACTAACATTGCTTTTCAAGTAATAAAGAAAATATATGAAGTATCCAAAGAACAATCAAATCAGCTGGTTTTTGTAGCTTTCCAAGTGCCAGATATTGCATAGAACAGAAAATCTTTTCATGGAAAAAGCATTTAGTCAGGCTAATTACTGGAAGAAAAGAACATAGCACAAATATTTAAATGACAGATTTAAAAATTAAAACAACCCAGACCAACTTAGTTTATATTTTAAAGTGCTTTTTATCTGATGCAACAAAAGCAAACCTTTTCGTTTCTAAGAAGGAGCCTGCCACTGTAAATGAAAAGAATAGTGTCCCACAATATTCTTGCAAAAAGGATCTGCATTTCCAAGGGAGGCAGGACAAATTGTTTGCACTGAACTGTTGGGCCCAAGTCTATGGAATCAAGATGCGGTAGTACTTATGCACTGTCATAATTTTAAAACAGCAGACATCATAGCTCTGAAGCTGAAGTATGTTACTATACAGTTTTAAAGTAAGCCCACAAAGAGAGGTTTAAAACTTTATCAATAAGGCTGAAAGAGTTCTCATATGAATGCACGGCGGCTATCAATTGGGCGGCTCCGACTGGCTCTTCCTGGGAGAGTTGGATTGGGTTCTTGAAATGACACAAAAGGATCAAAATATGGTAAAGTGGAAAATGGATCTAAGTGTGGGGAAATAGGAAGATATTGACTTGGAAGCTCAGCAGGGCCAGGAAAGAGGGAGCTTATTGGATCACCAATGGAAGGGACTGCTGGCCTCTCATCAAATTCACCACCAATGATATTGGGGGGATAAAGTGGATTAGGGCAAAAAGGACTGGGATACAGTGGACTGGGATGAAATGGCACTGGGAGGGGAGGAGGGGGCAGAAACATCATGTGTCTCCACTTCAGTGCATCTTTCTTCTGCTTCAATTTTTTCTTGTACAGCTGTAGAAAAGGGGAAAATAAAATTTAGCTTGACATTTCATAGCATTCATTGTTATAAAAGCTTGCTAGTATATTCCTGAATATTTGGAATAGATGAACCAAATTTATTAGCACAACTATCTCTGTGCTTTCTGCAGCTTCATAATTTTTTTTTATTTCATTCAATTTTTCAACCAATATGGAATTTCAGACCAGAATTCAACAGCTTGAAAGAAGCTGTGCAGGCTGGCATTCATTAGAATAATAATGTTCACCTGCTCTTTCAGCACGGTCTTTAAAGAAGAACTTGCTTCCTATGTCAATTGGAGGTTTCAGTTAGCTGAGAATGTAATTTGTTGAACTCTTGGTTATTTGGATTGTACATATTCTTAAAAAACAAAACAAAGCAAAACTAAAAAATATACCATGATACCCACTTACTTCTTTCCAATCTGTGTCTCGAGATCTGGCAACAGGATCTGCATAAACATGTAAAATACAAATCAGCAATTCTATAATGATGTAGACAACACATTAGGTAACTTGTATTGATGGCATGACTGTTCCAAGACAACAACCATTTATTGGACACAATGTCCAAACAGCTTCACAGAGGTATAATTCCTTACACAGAATCCTGACAAATTAACTTGCAAAGCTGACAACAAGCCTCTCATTCAGCGTCATGTTAGAAAAAAAGTTTTATGAACAATTACCTCTAAAATCTCGCAAGTATATGAACCTCCACAATAACTGATCATTCGAAGCAGCATAAAGATCATGACAAACAGCAGACAAAGAAATTAATGAACGAAAGTCCAAGAGCCGGAAGATTCGGAGTTTCAGCTCCAATGGAAGAACCACCAGGCCAAACACATCTGGTAGATTTAATGCTAAAATGAGAAGCAGAAGAATAACATTATCACAATATTCCAGCAGTTTAATTTCTTATCTATTCCATAATTATAATTAAATGCTTGAAACAAAGCATGTTGATAAGATTTGGCTGAAGAAAAAGCCTATTTCTATGCAAAGAGGTTTGAATTTAATCTTGCATTTATCAGAGACATCAAAAGTGACATAACATTATGATCATTTAATTGGGTTTCTTTACCTACTTTTAGGGCTTCTACTGGAAACAGATCACATCAGAAAAATTATACAGAAATATTGAAATTTCAAAAGAATTCATTAATTTTAAGCACTACTCTATTTCTATTGAAACATATGACCAAGTGGGACTAAAAAGCCAATGTTACCAGAGGTATGAATGCCACTAACCAAATACTCCATAGTCCCTGAAATAAAACTCTAAAGCACTATCCCTGACAGATTTAGAAGGCACTTGTTTGGAGAGAAGTCACATTAGAGTATCAACAGTGAAAGGTTTCACTCTCCTGATTAGAGTCAAAATCCTCTGGAAGCTACACCATAAGATCAGTATGGAATATCATCTAGCTTTTCTTCAGCCTAGTTTAAAAAAAGAAACAAACAAAACAAAACAAAAAACACTCCTATTCAGATCAAAGTTAATATATTGTTGCTTTACTATGTTGTCAAGTCACATAGGAAATAGCCCCTCCGGCTGGCTCAACTACAATAGAATTTTGCCTGTTAAGTGTAACAAGAATAGTTTCAAAAGGCACTTACAGATTTTAATCTATTTTATAACATTTCTCAAATTAGAACCTGGTGCTTATTCAACTTATAAGTCACAGCTGCAACCATGATGGGATAAGTAGCAGAAGGAAGTGCCTGATTTATAAATAGCTAAAGAACTACAGCTCAGAGGCTGGCTACCCATTTAGTGGCAGGGACAGAATCTTGCTGAGTTGGGATCCATTCTGGTTACTTGGCATCAGAACCTGAACAGAGAGTGGCAAACTTGTTTGCATAAATGAGCTTCACATGGTACACTTGATGGTCTAGACCAGTGTTTTTCAAACTTGGCAACTTCAAGATGTGTGGACTTCAGCTCCCAGAATTTCCCAGCTTCAGCTTCTGGGAATTGAAATCCATACATCTTACTTGCTGAGGCAGAGAAACACTGGTCTAGTCAGCTGCAGAGAGCTCAATGTATAGAAAGTCATCTCAACCCTCAAAACAGTTTGAACCAAAAATGATCAAATTTAATAAGTGAAGGGAAATCAGAATCATACTGAGAAAATATTGCTGTTATTCTCTCAAAACTTTCCTGTTAAATCTTAGTGGGGGGGGGTGTTTCCATGTTTTCTGCTAAACACATTGGGCTACAAACGTATTCACTCACCACACTTGGTGGTTTTACCTGTTACATAATAAACATTCTACAAAAAGATTTATAAGACTCCTTCCATGATCTGCTTACCTTGCCGAGCAGCAGCCAGAAGAGGGTACACCAGCCGATCTTTAAAGAGACAAGAGAGCTTCTGAAGGTCCTTATACACACCTGCAACATTTCCTTTAGGAAAATAAAAAATTCAAAATAAATATCATCTGCTCAGTATATCCTTTTCTAATTATTTGCCTCTAAGAACAAATCATCAAGCAGTAAAATGGAAAATAACGGGTTCTCTCCTTCAGACTGGCAATATGCTGTAATAATTTGATTTATAACAAATAGCAAAGCCTGCATGCACTAATGAATTTGGTGCACCTATTAGCATGGTTAAACAGCACAATATTCAGAATCTATGGAAAGTTTTTTTAAGTTTTAAATGAGGGAGAAGAGAAATTGCATTACATCAACTGTAGCAACCATTTCAATGATAACTTATCCATGACTGTTTCATTATTTCCCATAGAGCTGGGAAACTATAGCCCCCTTTAAGAATGCTATTAGAATGAGTCTCTTAAAATTTTCAATACAATGGGTCCCCCTAGTGAGGCATTATCTGTCATTACACCACTACCTTAATACTGTACAAACAAGCAAGTGGTTTACAATGGAAAGATTAAATATAAACTTTTTTTTAAAGATGCAGCCTTACAAATGTAAAAGGGGAAAGGCTGAAAGTGGAAGGTTGCCTCTAATGAAGTCTGTGCTAGAATCTGCATGCTCAAAACTTCCCCCTGAATATAATATATCTACAATTTCCTACAAGTTATCACGCAGAAATGAAAGAAAACACATCTGGGAATCTAGATTAGCTGCACAAGCAGAAAGTATCAGCATAAAACTCCCAATTCAAGCATTAATATCTCCCTCTGCTGTGGCCAAGAGGGAGAATAAACCAGAATTGCAGTGGTGTTCACCAGATGGAAAGGTGGCTTAAAAGAAACTCCAGACAACTGCTTAATAACCTAAATTTAAAACCTGAAGTATTTAATAAACTAGAGTTTTTTTCTCTCCTAATGGCCAAATAGCAAAAGCAATAGCACTTAGACTTATATACCGCTTCACAGTGCTTTATAGCCCTCTCTAAGCCGTTTAGCTCCCAACAATCTGGGTCCTCATTTTACCGACCTCGAAAGAATGGAAGGTTGAGTCAACCTTCAGCCAGTGACACTCAAACTGCTGGCAACCAGGAGTCAGAAGTAGCCTGCAGTGCTGCATTCTAACCGTTGTGCCACCAGGACTCTTAAAAGTAAACTCTTCTTGGTAAACAGAGGGGAGAGGAATGGAAACACAATTAACCTGTCATTCTGCATTTGCTTATTCATTTCCCACATGTATTTTAAATTATCTTTTTAAAGGGCTGTTTTATTTTGATATATACATTCTCAAGATGTACTACTGTTATCTTTAAATATTGGAATAAATGTCATGTTTTTATGGTTATGGGGGAAAAAAACAGGAATGCATCATGGTAAATTAGTATTTTTCAGAATACTTTATTAGCCACACTTCTTTTTTACCTGTAGCAGATTCTCTAGGCCCATAGTAATTGTCTACAATGTATAAGTATTAAGAGAAAATATATCCCTTGCAATATATTTTACCACTGTATGGAATGTTTTGTTTTCATAAAATATATTACTGAGGAGTTCTATGCCTGACAGGAGTTCATGAGGTCAACAAGTGACACAACTTAAAAATGCCTTCTACCTATTGCACTCTACTTCATCTTCTAAATTGCTCAGTTAACAATAAAAATTACTGTGGTATTACTCATCTATTAGCTTCTTGCTGTTTCCCAAAATTCAGATGTGGATACCTGAGTTTTCAAAGCAGATAAATGTAGCTGGCAGAAGTTGTAGTCTCTTCACACTTTTGATATCAATGTCAATCTTCAGCATTGCTAAAAACCAAAAAAAGACACTAAAAGAACTTAACAAAAAAAAACATTCTTGGTGATTCTGAACTTCCTGCGGAAACTCAAAACAGAATAAATTTAATCAATAGCAGTGTGTGCTGTAAGAAATACAAGAAAAAATATGAACACCCCTTCTTCCCCTTGGAAGTTGTGTGGCATAATACTCCAGGATATATGAATGAATCTAACCAGCTTGGATTTCTAAGTGTAATGAGTTACAGAGTGACATTATGGTTTAATTTTGTCTGTGCTCATGGAAAGTCTCCTTCACTTCCTTCAAAAAAGACTTTTCTGAGATCTTAAACAGCATCTCAGATGGGACTGCCCACTGTTCTTTCTCTTTTGAAGCCCTATCTCTCACTATCTATTTAACAGCCTAATCCTTTTCTTAAGGCAAATTTGTTTCAATATACTACTAAAAGTTTGTCTGATTGCTTGTACCTTCAATTGGGCAAAACATGTGTCATAGGGCACTATTTTTTGAATCAACTGATTCTTATGTCTTTCAGCATAAGAACTGTTAGTTACATAGCATGGAAGACAAAGAATAACAAATGCTAGCCTTCAATCAAATAAATATCAGAATATACCTACCATTGATAACAATAAGGTCTCCCAAAGGCACACAAGTAAGGGCAGCAATGCCATTTTCACAGAGGGGATGGGCATACTGTAGCTTATAAACACCTCTGTTCCGCCATTTGTCAGGCATTCTTGTTGCCTTTGACTCTGTTCCCTATGAATAATAAAAGAGGAAATTAACAAGGCAACTAAAACTTGAGTACATATTTGTTGTGAGTTTGCAATAGCACTACTGAAATCATAGGGTGAGAATTCTGATTATGGCAACAATGCAACTAAAGCACATAAGTAGTCATTGTCAAATCTTTCTCAGTAATATAATTATTTAATTAGTATCCCACATTTATTATAATACCAAATATTTACAACATAATATTTTATTATAAAACAAATTTATGTTGTATAGCAACACCTAGAATTACTATATACAGTCCTGGTTTTACATTTCTTTTGCTAGATGTGTTGTGCATTAACTGCGTTCTGCTCAATGGGTATCCAGTACAAATTATGACTAATGCAGAACAGTGTGTTGCCATAATATTCTGGATTGTGACAACCAATATATTCATGAGTAATAGTATGCTTTATCACTAAATCATGGCTTACTGGAAGCCAACATTGTCTTATTATTGGCCTAAGATCTATGTCAATGAGGAAAATTATGAGAATTGATGAGAAATGGAATTCAACCAAATCTGATGGGTTGCACAGTATTCACATTCAGACATCCTTTGTAAAAATTTGCTTACTTGAGGTATATATCCTGTTTCCATCATGATAAGATGGATCAAAACTATCAAGGCATCATTGGCACTGGTACATTCTGCAGAATGATAGAGGGTCTGAAGTGAGTGTGGTACTTGTCCATCCGTAGCTTCAGAGCAAAGCATTGGCTCTGAAGGATAAGAACCAGCAGCTTCTTGGAAGTCAAAGTCATCAGATACAGCTTCTGAAGCAAATGCTTGGCTGGATTCTGCCTTGAAATGACAGCAGCAGAAACATAAGGGCATTAAAAAGTTATATTTACTTTAGTAAAATGATAAAAGCAAAGGGTTTCTATGAAAAAAGCTGGTATCTTTAAAAATAATGGAAGCAATCCAAGCTTCTTAGTATTTTCCCTACTGCGCACAATGAAAGCGTCTTCATTTCTTATGCACCTACCATATCGTCTGTATTCATCTGAACTGTACGTTCTAGAAGATGTCCATTGTGTCTTTCACTATCTAGAATTTTAGACTGGTTGTGACAAATGGCTGAAGTTGATGGCTCATGATTATTCTCTTGTGGATGCAGGGATGAAGTGTGAGTTGGAAATACTCTTAATTCTGTCTCAGTATCTTCCAATATCAAACATATCAAGTCTCCTGAAACAATCCCAAATGATGCTAGGGTTTCCTCATCTCCAGTAAGGGAGTCTTTGTTGTTCAATGTTATTGCAAACTTGATGTCAGAACTGCATGGAAAGCAATATTAAGCACACATTTTATATTGAGGAACACACACCAACTGTAGATTAAATGATGTCCTTAATTACCTAATTCCACAATTTACTATAATACAATCAATAAGTATAGCCATTAAAACCAAGATACGTCTCAAACTGATCCATTTTCACCTGCATTTATTAAGCATGTTCGCCTACCATAAATGTTTGCATGCCAGGAATAGACTTTTTTTTAGAAACGTAAATCTAATACATATTTAAAAGTAATATTTGTTGTATTAGCATTTAAATTATTAGCAGCAGAATGCTAAGAAGACCACATTTTTAAAAGAATGCTTTCTGTCTTACTAAATAAAAAAAAATATTATCAAGGCTCTTGAATTTGACTGCGTTGTAGTAGCTAAATACAGTAGTATCTAGCTTATGATTTGCCTTTCAAAAGTATTTCATTTTGCATTCATTTTTAATAAAGAAAATGAACAGGAACCAAGGGAAATCTTTCACAATCACTTTACAATCTTCATCCTCACAAAATATAAATGGTGCATTTCACCTTACAACATTTGAACACAAGAGATATTTTTGAATTCAACAATCACAAAATCAGTTTTTATACATAATTTTTCCAGTTACTATTAATTTACAGGGCATCTCTGAGGAAACAGCACTATTTAATTTATAAAATAATCACAGGTGATACTTTTTTCATTATAAACTCAAGGCAAATCAATCCCAAATCTCTAGCATACCAAACCCTACCAGTACAAGTTTCAGCTATGAAACCACAGCATCCATTCTCCTGGGATTCCCAAAAACTTTTAAGACTCTATTCCCAGGCCTGGGATTAATATAGGTGCGATTTATTGGCGAAACCCCTGTCATATTGCTTTTGATTTATGATTAAAGCTATCTGTTTTTGTTGTATGTGTATATGTGTGTGTATTTTTAAGCCACCCATTGTCTTCTAGAGAGGGCATCCATATTGCACTGAATAGAATAAGCCACTGTGACAGGTAGTTAGAGGGGCGTGTACTACTAATACTTTAATAAATCACATAATTTCTGTGATATCTGTATCAGTTTGTATTTGTAAATGTAGCCCATAAATGAAACTGAACATGTAATCTTACATTTGACTTTGTTTCACAAGGAAAATACTACCAGCCTTCACCTACAGTATATCCCTTATCAATAAGACAGGAAACATAATCACAATACTTTCATGAATATACCTATGACTAGCAAGACTGGATTCAAGATTATAGATCAATTAGCTCACTAAAAATACAATTGCAGGTACAACTTACTTGGGAAAATAAGGTTCATTTCTTAGTACTTGACCCAGTTACTTAATTCTCCAATTACTCTATACATTAGCTCATTTGAAAAGTTAGTAATCCAGGAATCCATCACTCAATGAAAATACTTCCAAAATATCCATCAAACCACATGAATTAAGTGGTTTGCTAGAGAACTATGTAAGATTTGAAATTAAATTTGCCCTACATAAAGGAATAGAGTATTTGCCAAAACTGATTTTTTTTTCTTTCCAATAAACTATGTACTTTAGATTTACAATTTTGAAAATTAGCCAACCTGAAAGATAATGACTTGGCATTAGGTAGAGGGAGGGAGAAAATGAATCAGTTCTAGTCTAACTCACTACAATACATTGCTTAGACAATATGTCCTGTAAAACTGTTTACCAAAAAGTCAGAAGACTTCAACATAAAGAAATGCCTACAAGATTGGGAAATATAATCAGTGAAGTGTTTTGTTTTATTTTGCTTTGGTCAATGCTTCAATGCATTGACCTAACCATTTCTAGCCTGAAATGCATAAGCTTTTTAGAAAACTCAGTCATATGTTTTCCTCAGCACAGAAATTGTGTGAAGAATGGGACTGACTCCACATACATTCCACATAATTTATAATCCTATAAATGTCAACAATGCTACAAGCGCCATCAATAAGCCAAAAATCCTAAAACCATCCCGTTCCTCCTTTTCTTCCCTAATTCCCAGTCTAGTTTAGGGCCTCAAGTATTCAGCAAAAAGTTCCCATCCGGCAGTTACGTTTTAACTTAAATCAATCCATCTTGGGAACCTATCTTGTTAAGACACACAGTAAACACATAATTTTAGTCAAGAGGGAAAAGAAGGGCAAACAAATCTTCCTCTTATTCCTCGTTCCTATTTTGTGCCAGACAAAAATAGAACATTTATCCTTTGGATTCCCCAAATTATTTATTCATCAGTGGCCTCCATTCACTGTCACTACCGAATTGAGGCCTTTTGGTGGCTTCGAAAGTTTTCTTCCCATCAAATCATAAAACAGATGGTTTTTAATTGTCTCCCACGAGTCTCCTTCGACTATGGGCAATCCCTCTGGCTCTCCTAGACATGGAAAACGTTTCCATTTCCTAGAAGCGGAAAGCCAGGGGCCCGCTTCCTATCGACTCTCGTCGATTGCCTGCACACTCAACGCCATGCGTGACAGCTCCGCTCGGATACCTGTAACCCCAAGCGGGCAAGAGGGTTTGGCCGAGGCGCGCACGCAAATCCCCCAGCTGCGGTTCCGCCTCTGGCAACTCCAATAGAGCCGTCCGCCTCTGCAGCCGTACGCGGAGCTTCATGGCGGCGAACGGCGGTTGTCCGGCCTACCTCCCCTGCCCCCCTCCCCCCCTCCGCGCCGCAGAGGTTCCTTCGCGAAGATGGCGGCACAGGAGGCCGCAACGAAGACGCGGCCCCGAGAAACCGCCGCCGTCCTTGTTGTTATTGTTGTTGTGGGTTTGGGCTGCCGAGGAACCGCCTCCTTGACCCTGGCGACCTTGAGATGACGCAGTTCCGCCCTTCGTCTTGACCCTCCCCTCTCACCGGCCGCATCGATCCACGCAACCGCCTTCGGTCGAAGGAAGCCAAAAACTCTACCGCCCTGCTCTCTTATCGAAATTTGTCTTCGGCGGATGACATCCGCATCCTTCTCTGCTTCTCTACTAGCAAAGGGCTGTAATCTAAAGAGGATTCCTTTATCCCGGGGGTCAAGTGATCCGTATACATTTTTCTCCGCAGCATCTGGTCATGGGGCATCATCCCGCTGAATGTGGAGGACTGAATTTTTTGTGAGGACTGATTTATGATGACAAGGTCTTGTTTTACAACAGGATTACACAATTCATGTTGTTAATAAAAGAAGAATTCGTTCAAATAATCTCAATTGATGGTTCCTTTGCAGACATTTCTACAGTAGATTATTGTAATGGGAGCAACGTGGAAGTGTTTTCCTTTATCTAGAGTTGCTTTCCCATTTCACAATTTAGCCCATGCAGGTGTGTGTGTATGTGTGTTTTGGTGGTCTCCCATCCATAAACTTAACGAGGTCTGACCCTTTTTGGCTTCCAGACCCAGATAGGTTGGAATATGTTCCTACCAACCAGCACTTTACATGTATACATTCACACACACAAGTAGAAAGATATACATTTCTTTTATATAAAATAGGGATTTATATATTGTGCCAAGCATAATTTCTTTTAATTATGTTTTTTTGAAAGCATAATGGCCTGCAGATTAAACTAATCGTTAAACGATGATTTATAAATTCCATTGACTGAATTAATACTAGAAACCGAAACTATCACAAAATGGTTTGATGCTAGTTGTTCATTCAGGTGCCCCTATTTGCAGTACTTTGACTGGAATAATAGTCTTCTTGGTTTTAGTAGGAATCATTAATAATGTTAACTTTAACATAATAAAAACAAATTTAGTTTTGCTTCTAGCCCTGTATATGACTTTTCTGAAGTGAGCCCTCAACATACCATTTAAAGGCCAAGTATGGCCATTAATCCAGAAACATTATATACTATTATTATTTTAAGCATTATAGTTATAATTTGTAAATCATGGTTTGTATATTTTAACTCAATTACAGCTTATTCAATAAACCATGTTTAACTCTAATTGTAACAGTGCAAGGTGTGAACCCCTGACATGTTAGTGAACCTCTGAATGTTTCAAAATATGTAACATGTATCAGGTTAACATATCCCTGTTAAATTAATAGCATAGCTCTAATCCTGAAATTTTAGGTGTTTCTTCACTGGAGGTTTTAAAGACAAGATTGGATAGCTGTCTGTCTGAAATGTATAGGGTCTCCTGCTTGAGCAGGGGGGCTTGGAATAGAACAGGGCTTTTCAACCTTTTCACCCGTTGTACCACTTTTAGGATATGGCAACATCCGCGTACCACCAGTCGCCCAGCAAGGTGTCAAAAAGTTGAAGACCAAAAAAAAAGAGGAAAAAAATGATAAAGTACAGGTAGTCCTCGACTTACAACAGTTCGCTTAGTGACTGAAGTTACAATGGCACTGAAAAAAGTGCCCTCCAAGCCACAGCCGAGCAAAACACCTGCGTGCCCATCTGGCCGCGCTCTTCCTCCTGTCCAAGGTTTTCATTGTTGTGAGCGTTTCTGTTGAGGATTGGCAGTGGAGGTGGGGTGGGGGGTGTTTGGTTTTTATTCCCTCCATCTGCTGGGTGGTTGCAGAAGTTTTGGTCACTTCACATGACCCTGGGACCATCATAAATATGAATCAGTTGCCAAGCATCTGAATATAAATCACAAGACCCTGGAGATGCTGCAACATTCCAGCTGATCGGCGCTTCTTCTGGGCTCAGCAGAAGCACCAGGATCAGCGCCGAGCTCCAGCTGGAACCTGGTGCTGATCCTAGCGCTTCTACTGAGCCCTGACAGTCACGAAGAAGCGTTGATCCTGGTGCTTCCGCTGAGCCCTGACAGCTCCAGCCATTTCTCGCTCAGGTTTGTGCAGTGCTGCCACCGGTTCAGCTCATTCCCCTCCCCCACTACCACTTTTCTAGGATGGTCGTGTACCACCTGCCAGGTGCCAATGTACCACAGGTGGTATCTGTACCACTGGTTGAAAAGCCCTGGAATAGAAGATATCCCTTTTAGCTCTGTTCTGATTGATTGGATTTGTTTTATTACTTAATACAATTTTATCAAAGGTACTACTGTATCTATAAATTGTTTGCCTATCAAACAATCAAAATTGAACATTTGTATTTGTATTTATGCAGTATCCTAGATTTTACTGCATTTCCAGTTCATTACCATATAGTTCAACATTATATTGGACAATATTTTTTCTTTCTCAGTGAAAATGATTAAATGAACATCCACCTGGGGGGTAGGGGCTGGAATAGTCTCCTGTCTTAGGGAATTGCTGAAAGTAACACAATGTTCCCTTGCCATTCTAAAAGAGATGGACATATTGAATACATGTGAAAGCCTGGATTTGTTTTTCCCGTCAGAAAAACTTGGCACTGACCACGACAGAGTGAAGTTCAAAAAACTAGCAAGTCAAATACACTACATAAAAGTAATATTAATTAGAACATGTAGCAATTCTCTGCTGACCATTAAAATATTATCTGTGTAACTTGGCACACTTCTATTTTATTCTGATTTTAGCCAAAAAAAAAAAAAATTCTAGAGAGAATCCAAGTTGGTTTAATTGGCAATCTGATGCACATTTATGTGGGAGTACCATAAGTCCCAATGGTATTTACAGTGAAATAGACACACATTCATTTGTCTTGATTCTCTTCTAGCTATCATTCTGAAACTAGAGAACCATATATATTTAGATGCTACTCGTATATTCATGTAGATATGGAAACTTGATGTTTGGGTGAAGGGGCAAGAGTATTTACACATCATTCTCCATGCTGAGCTGTTTATTGCAAGGACAATTACCTGTGTTCATACAATGCACTAAAAGCCAACAAGCTATACATATCTTTTATGCTACTCGTGCAAGTCTGTTAAGGTCTCAGTTACTCAGTTATTTGCCACTAGAAAACAAAAGAAGAACTGAGTAGAAAAATTAACACTTTTCTCTACCTAGTGTACTCATATCTGGCAATATCTCTGCATCTAATTGAGTGGGCTTGTTAGACTTACCATTTTGTGATAACAATGATGGTTTGCTAACATGTGAAAGCTATCGAATCAAATGACTCAGGGTGGCAGAGTTCACTCTGAAGAAGTTCTAATGTAATATTTTCTATAAAAAATATTTCCATCTCACATATACGACTCTATTTTTCTGGGGAACAATGACAATTGAAGATGATTTCAGTTTTAGTGGAGTAAACAACCACAGTGAAAAGTGGAGCCAGTGATTGAATCAACTTCTGGAACTGCTCTCCAGATTAAGGAGAGAATTTAGGGTCCCCCAGAGTGCTCTTTACAACTCCCTGTGATGAGATCATAGAACAGTGGTCTCTGCCAGGTTTAAGCGCTCGGGGAGCCAGGAGAACCAGTTTTTCCTCTATTAAAATCAGCTTTGTCAGGCAGTTGTTCAGAACCTTCAATGGGACACTAGGTTTGCAACTTGCCGTCATCATAACCTTTATTGGAAATGGCTTGTAAATTGCTTTTTTGATATTAAGAACCTTCATAAAGACAAGTTTTATTACACTGAGTGATTTTCCATCAACCCTCGGTAAAAGAAGCTTAATTTAAGTTTGAAACTTTTTATTTGGAGATAAGCGGCAAAGGAGTGGTTAGAAAATTTTAGAAAGCTTTAAAATGGACTAAGGAGTCAGATTGACTCAAAATTAGATTTTGAAATACATATAAAACTACTTCCTGTAGTTTGTTTAAAATCTTGCTAAAATATATGAAGATTTTGAGTCTTAAGTGTAAGAAACCTCTTACTGGTATATATTAAATGAGAGAAAAACATGGTAAGAGGAGACCTTGAGGGCTGGTTACTAGATGCAATCAGAAAGAACTAAACATTAATTGTTGGATGCTTTGGATATTGATTTAAAATTGACAGGATACAAGAGTTAAAGTACAGACAAAGACTTTATAAAGAACTTACAAGTTAAACCGACTGAGGTTTAATAGTTAAAAAGGACACACAAATAAAGGGGCACCACAAGAATGATCTGGATATGTAGATTCTAACTCAAAAAAGTGACTTTAACAATTTATAAAAGAAATATGCTATATTTATGAAGGAATCCCTGAGATAAATCAGCATTTGGGACATCAATTGAAAAGAATAAACATCAAGACCTTTGAAAGTAAAATGAAGGTTTACAGTTATCTTACCCAAGCAAAGTTAAAATATATATGATTCTTTTTTTAAAGCAGCTTTTAATGTTTTTTTCTGGATTAAGTCTGAACATAAGACCTTACAGAATTGTTTATAGATAATGTATGGAAAGAAGAGAATTTCTATTGCATTTTTAGAGAAAGTGAAATTGAAAGGCGATGAAAAAAAGTTGATAAATTGCAGGACATCATTTGAAGGGATTAAATATTAAAAATTCTGATGTGTTCTTTCTGGTAGCTTCTAATGTACTTTTGCTGAATAAAAGGTTTTATTGCTAATAGATAAAAGTTGAGATATGGGATAAAGAGGTTTTTGGTTGAAAGAAGGTATTAAGTTATTGAAAATGTTTTCATTTGTCTTGATGAAAGGGGAAGTAATTTCTTTCTATATTTTTTCTTTGGTTTCATTTTATATACTTTTCCTCCCTTTTTCCCTTCCTCCCCCCTTTTTTTCTCTCTGCAATTTTCACTGTTTCTTTTTTATATTTCTCTTCATCTGTATTAGTTCTTTATCTTTGTATTTTGCAACTGCAATAAAAATTATTATTAAAACTATGACTTTAGATGGCCAAATTAGAAATTTATATATATATATATATATATATATATATATATATATATATAGATATAGATATAGATATAGATATAGATATAGATATATAGATATAACAACTATTTACAATGTTAAAAGAAACAAT